CTACTACTGCTACTACTGCTGCTACTACTACTACTACTACTACTACTACTACTACTACTACTACTACTACTACTACTACTACTGCTGCTACTACTACTGCTACTGCTACTACTACTACTACTACTACTACTACTACTACTACTACTACTACTACTACTACTACTACTACTACTACTACTACTACTACTACTACTACTACTACTACTACTACTACTACTACTACTACTACTGCTACTACTACTGCTACTACTACTACTGCTGCTACTACTGCTACTACTGCTACTACTACTGTACTACTACTACTGACTACTGCTACTACTACTGAGAGGCTACTACTAGACTACTCCCTCTCTACACAGACACTTCCTCCAGCTCCTCCTCTGGGACCCGAGTTGTTCCCAGGCCAGTCCAGAGACAGAGTCCCTCCAGCGGCTCCTGGATCTTCTGGTTTCTTCTTCCAAATGTGTCTTGGTACAACTGAAGTGATGTAAAACTAACACTTTTAAACACTTTAAACCTTTATATATTAACTGTTAGAGAAGTTGTGGCTTCTGGACAGTCCCGGTCTGGTCTCGGTCTGGTCCCAGTCTGGTCCTGGTCTGGTCCTGGACCTGGATCAGTCCTGGTTCAGTCCGACATCACAGTCACTGAAGTCACGTAAACAGGAAACGGTCGTTATCTGTTTGTTTTTTTCATTTTTCATTTAAACACAAAATCAAAAACTGAAAAATCGAATCATCTGTTTTTTCATTTTGGTTTTGGAGACAAATAATGAAGAAAACAGTTGTTTTTTCATTTTCTTATTTTTGTTTTTATATTGAAAAACAAAAACACACGCTGGACTTCACTACTGTTTTATGTTTTATTTATTTCATTTGGTGCATTTGAATTTACTTTTATTACAGATGAGTTTTACCAGTACAATGTCAATTCTTATTTTCTTGACAATAACTCAGATTCTTTTCAGTCCAGTTCAAAATACAGAGTAAAAAGTACCAGAGTAAAATGTACTCACATAAAGTACCTCAAAATTAGACTTAAAGAGGAAGTATTATGCAAAATCATCAGGACATAAATGTACAAAAACATGACACAAAACTGTTCACAGAAACCGGACAAACCTGATGTTGTGATGTGGCTCTGAAGGGGGAGTGACTTAGCACGAGGAGCAAAAGGAGGGAGGACAAAACAACAAAAGGAACATGTTGATCTAAATCTGTTGTGTTACAGTTAATAGTCCAGAGAAGTCACATCCCCGTCTTTAAGTTCACTACTTTTACTTTTGTACTTTGTCACGACTCAAAGTCTCCACTGCAGTGACGACCAGAGGAGCAGAGTTTGAACCTCCAAAATTGTTACCGGGACTGAAAAATGGAAACAGTTTCTCCCTGAAGCAGCAGCGAGTGAAGGAGAAGAGGAGATCTGCAGAATCTGTGTCATAAAAGGAAACCAGACCCTCCCCATAGTCCACAAACACCCCGACCTTCTGAGGAGCTCTCTGAGGAAACAGACGGACAGAAGGGCCAGCACAAGCGTTGTACTCATCTTTGTTTCTTAAGATGATGCACCACAGTCCACGTTTAGGATTTAAAGTGATCTTTCCCTTCCTGTTGATGGATTCTTGGGCCACTCCTAAATCCCACTCTGTTTTCCCTTTGACCTGAACCTCAAAGTAAAACCTGCCTGAAGAAAAACTCTGTTTTCCTAAAACACAAACAACACGATCAAACCTCAGAGGAGAATCTGGGAGTTTCTTCTCCACATTAGTGTCATGAACCTGTTTGAGATCTTCAGACAGAGCAAGATCAGGATGAGCCGTGTCTGGGTCCAGAGTCACCTCCACCGCACTCTGCTGCGCTCTCCTCAGCTCAGCTTTCTTAGACTCTGAGGCCAGTTCTTTAAAGTGTTTGTTAAACTCCTGAGGGAGACTGTTCTTCAGCTCAGACAGAGCCCGGGACACACTGCCCTCACACGTCTCCGGCTCAAAGTTCACGCTGCTCCACTCCTTAAGCCCAGCAGGGGGCGTGAGTGCAGGGCAGCGCTGTAGAAAGTGGAGGGGGTCTTCAGAGCGTGAGAGACGTTGGGCCTCAGCGCTGCTCTGCTCCAGATCACAGATCTCCTGCTTCAGCCGCTGCAGCAGATCCTGGGCTCGTCTGTGGCTCCGGCTCTGCTTCTCCTGGAGCTCCTCTAAGAAGAGGTCCATACTCCTCTGAACAGACTGCATGAGAGCAGTGAAGACCTGCAGCCCCGCAGACCTCTCTCTGACGGCCTCTGTCTCACTCAGCTCCAGGAGCCTCTGGATCTCCAGGATCTTCTGCCTCCTCTGCTCCACCATGTGCACAAAGGACCTCCTGCACTCACACACCTCCTCCAGAGACAACAGCTCATGGTTCTTGTGCTCTAGAAGGACACACACGGTACAGACGCAGCTCTGGTCAGTGTCACAGAAGAGCTCCAGGGGGCGCTGGTGTGTGGGACACATCCTGTCTTCCAGGTTTTCCACAGGCTCCATCAGCTGGTGTCTTTTCAGCCCAGAGACTGTGAGATGAGGCTGGAGGTGGCTCTCACAGAAGGAGGACAGACACACCAGGCAGGACTTGAGGGCCTTCAGCTTGGGCTCAGAGCACACGTCACACTGCACCTCTTTAAAGACGGACTTGTTGTCCATAGAGCTGCTCTTCTTCTTCTCCAGCTTAGACGCTGAGACCACCTCCTTCAGGAGCGTGTTGATCTTGAGCTGTGGTCTTCTGTGGAACATCTCTTTACACACAGGACATGTGCAGGGTCCATCAGTGTCCCAGGCCTGAGAGATGCAGCGTCGGCAGAAGTTGTGTCCACATGGAGTGGACACTGGCTCAGAGAACACCTCCAGACAGATGGAGCACTTGAACATCTCCTCAGAGCTCTGGTCTCTGGTGGAGGACATGTCTGAAACAGAGCAACAATAGTGACTCAGACTAAAGTCAAGACTCTTATTGTGACAGGAAAGAGGTGAAGAGCTTTTATTTTGGAAGGCTTCAGGAGGATGTGGTGAGGAAGACTGGACTAGAAGAATAAGTTTGTGTTGTGACCATAGACTGTTTGTGACTGATATCGAACACGGTTTAAGGAAAAGGCTGAGACTCAACGTCACCATGACGACAATAAAAACAACAGAACGTCATTTGAGCTCAAAAACACCACAGTGTCCTGAAGATGACATCGCCGTCACTTTTCTAAGCACAAGTGTTGAGAAAAAGGTCACATTTGATTTGTTCAGAGTCACTTGTTGTTGAAGTTGTGACTCTTGTGATCAGGTGGTATCTGGGTGATAAGAGTCAGGTCTGTGGAGATGCGAGCTCAAAGAAACAAGGCTTGTTTTTCACTGCAATAAACACAAGCAAAAGGAAACGTGCTTTGACTGAAGTGAATGTAACGTGAAGAACAAAACATGAAATAATCCAAATGTGGAGTTTTCAAAGCAACACAAAAATGAGACAAACTAAATGAGACGTGAAGGAGCCGCAAGAAACAAATGTTCAAATCATCATTTCAGATTTCAGTCACAGAAGCTTTTGTCACTTTAGACTCACTCACAGTGGGAAGAGGAAACACAACTTTTACTCCACTAACAGTACTGCTACTTCACTACAAATATTACTGGAGTAGGAGTAAAAGTATCTGTGAAATGGTGATCTTTGTGACACTGACATGAGATTGTGGTTTATGTTTTTATAGTCGTGTTATTCATGTTCATGTTCAAAGTTCATGTTTCAAAGGAGCATAAAGGTGTGAGAGGATCAGGTGATGAGCCAAACTCATCCAGAATCTCATGTGTTTCTGAACATGTTTGTTGCTTTTCCACACAATAAGAGCCCATGGAGACACTGGGAGGGCATCTGACACACAGAGACATGTTCTAGACGTCTGAACTACAGAGTGAGCAGCTTTTCGTTAATCAGAGTCAGACTGTGGAGTTTACAGTCACTCACTTCAATCACTGCAGAATTTACATGAAGTTAAACGTGAACCCATTAACAAGAACTCATGATTATGATTATTATTATTAATATTAATAACACTGACCTGTAGTTTGTGTGTTGAGGGTTTGACTCCGCTGAGGTTCCTTTGAGCAAATGCAGAGTGTTTCCTGGTTCAGTGTGTTTGAGCAGAGGGAGGAGCTGCTGTGTCCTGCCCTCCTCCTGTAACGTTAAATTAATTTTTTTTATTCCAAAAGAACCAAATTTTGCGTTGACAAAAATCACAAATTCTGATATTTTCTGATATGACAAAAGCAGAGCAGTGTGTGTAGTGTGTGTGTAGTGTGTGTAGTAGTGTGTGTAGTGTGTGTGTAGTGTGTGTAGTGTGTGAAGGATCATTTGATTTTGAAACAAGTGCCGCTGCATCTCTCCAGTTCTCACTGTGGCAGATTGTGTCAAGAGTCCCACACCAGGTCGTGTCAGAGTCCCGCACCAGGTCGTGTCAGAGTGCCGCACCAGGTCATGTCAGAGTCCCACACCAGGTCGTGTCAGACTCCCACATCAGGTTGTGTCAGAGTCCCACACCAGGTCGTGTCAGAGTCCCACACCAGGTCGTGTCAGAGTCCCACACCAGGTCGTGTCAGAGTCCCGCACCAGGTTGTGTCAGAGTGCTGCACCAGGTCGTGTCAAAGTCCCGCACCAGGTTGTGTCAGACTCCCCCACCAGGTTGTGTCAGAGTCCTGCACCAGGTCGTGTCAGACTCCCGCACCAGGTCATGTCAGAGTCCCGCACAAGGTCAGGTCAGAATCCCGCACCAGGTTGTGTCGGAATCCTGCACCAGGTTGTGTCAGACTCCCACACCAGGTTGTGTCATCTCCCACACCAGGTTGTGTCAAAGTCCCGCACCAGGTTGTGTCAGACTCCGACACCAGGTTGTGTCAGAGTTCCGCACCAGGTTGTGTCAGAATCCTGCACCAGGTCGTGTACCCGCGAACAGAAGAGAGAGAACCTCGAGCAGGAGCACATGGAGCAGGTATCCACAAAGTGCGATCGGGCGACGGCCGCACTTACCTCCGTGTGACACAGAACTCTGCACCGATTCTTTTGCTTGTGGTCACCAGACGGTCTACACAGGCGCACCTTAGTCCTGAGTTAGTCCTGGGTTAGTCCTGGTTCAGTCCTCGGTCAGTCCTGGGTTAGTCCTGGGTTAGGCTTGGGTTAGTCCTGGGTCAGTCCTGGGTTAGTCCTGAGTTAGTTCTGGTTTAGTCGTGGGTCAGTCCTGGGTTAGTCCTGAGTTAGTTCTGGGTTAGTCCTGGGTCAGTCCTGGGTTAGTCCTGAGTTAGTTCTGGGTTAGTCCTGAGTTAGTCCTGGGTGGGCCCGTGCAGGACTCTGGGTGGGGTCACGTTGGTCTTAGTACCGCAGTGATTGACTTTTGTGGTTTATGTTTTTATAGTCGTGTTATTCATGTTCATGTTCAAAGTTCATGTTTCAAAGGAGCATAAAGGTGTGAGAGGATCAGGTGAGATCTGAGTCTGAACTACAGAGTGAGCAGCTTTTCTTGAATCAGAGTCAGACTGTGGAGTTTACAGTCACTCACTTCAATAATATTACATTCATGTTCCACAAAAACAAACTTATACAAACAACTTCTGAGTAAAAAAGTGAAGAAGAACTAAAGTTGAACTGAACCAAATCAACAACAGAATCTGACTGAACTTTAGTCCCATTAAAGAAGTACTACAGTAAAAGTACAAGAACCAGGAGGACGAGATGTAGTAGTAGTAGTAGTAGTAGTAGTAGTAGTAAAGTAAGACTGACCTGTAGTTTGTGTGTTGAGGGTTTGACTCCGCTGAGGTGCCCTTGAGCAAATGCAGAGTGTTTCCTGGTTCAGTGTGTTTGAGCAGAGGGAGGAGCTGCTGTGTCCTGCCCTCCTCCTGTCTCTGTGTGTCAGATGCCCTCCCGTCCTCCTGTCTCTGTGTGTCAGATGCCCTCCCGTCCTCCTGTCTCTGTGTGTCAGATGCCCTCCCGTCCTCCTGTCTCTGTGTGTCAGATGCCCTCCCGTCCTCCTGTCTCTGTGTGTCAGATGCCCTCCCGTCCTCCTGTCTCTGTGTGTCAGATGCCCTCCCAGTAAGGACCAAGCATGAATAGATAAACAGTGTGGTTCTTCGCTGCCATGAGGCCTGACAACAAAATCCTTCGCTTGGCCACTTTGAGTTTGACTTGTGAGAGGTTATTTAAAATCAACACGTCCGGTGAACAAGGTCCTAGTGCACAGGTGTCAAACATAAGGTCCAGGGGCCAGATCCGGCCCTCCAAGACCTTTAATGTGGCCCTTGGCTGATTTTCTACTAAAATATTTTAATTATATTTTCTATTAAAATGGTGTTAATTTTGTGTGGTGTTTATCACAGCAGCGTCTCCAGTGTCTCTGTACGTGGCCCCTCCCACCAGAGCAGCACAAATGAAGACTTGTCTCTTTCCAAACGCTCTTAAAGGACGATCGTTTTGACTGTTGACCGTGACACCCTCATCAGAAAAATGTCCAACATGAGAAAAGTGGAGCCGAGTGCAGGATTTTACAACAAAAATTGACTTATTCCTGTTTACAGACAAGTTCATGTTAAAACTTTGTGTTGAATTGCATTTTTTTTTTCTTAAAGTTTCAGGTTGTTCATAATATTATAATATTTTGTAAAAGAAAGAGTTCATCTATTAAAAAAGATTTCTGTAATAGATTTGTGTTTCTCTGCACAAATATTTGAACTTATTGTTATTTTTGGGGTTTATATGACATGAGTTTTCTGATCCGGACACTTTGGGATCAAAGTCGGTTGGACACGACGCCCGGAACAAAATGAGTTTGACTCTCCTGCAATAAAAGATACAAAATTGACATAAACAGCACGTTTTCATTTTCACGACTGTTCACTAAAGGACGTGACGGACGGACAAACTGTTGGCTAATGCTAATGCTAATACTAATGCTAATGCTAACGTTGTTTATCGGGACGTGTTCAGCGGCGCAGAAATTCTCACCTGTTGAGTTTTTTCAGGTCACATTATTAAAATATTACAACAAACTCAGATGAAACTCGACCAGAACCAGAACCAGAAGCAGAACTCCAGAGAGTGTTGATAATTCAGTCCGTTTGTCGTTTGTTCATTCCTTTTTCAAAATAAAACCAAAAATAAGAAAATGAAAAAGAAAAAAAAAAAAAAAAGTTTTCTTCATTATTTGTCTGCAAAACCAAAATGAAAAAAACAGATAATTATTTATTTTTATTTATTTATTTCAGTTTTTGATTTTGTGTTGAAATGAAAAATGGAACGAACTGAACCAGGACTAAACCAGGACTAAACGTGGCAATTGCCCGATCGCGTTTTGTGGACAAACTGCTCGGCGTTTTCTCTCTTAAGTCCAAGATTAGTCCTGGTTTAGTCCTGACCCACCTGTGTGTAAAAAAAAAAAAAAAAACGTGAAACAAGGAGACTGCGAAAGATGAGTCGCGATATATCGAAGGACGACTGTAGCTCAATGTCAGATTCAGATTCAGAAAACTTTATTGATCTCATAAGGCAATTCATTAGCAGCATCTCAGAGCAGTTCTCACTTCTCACAAACACAAACAAACACAAACACAGTGTGTCAGTCCATTACATCCACCAGTGCAACTCTAGACTAAACTACAAATTACAGTGCAAAACTTTCAGAAAACTGCGCCCTTAGAATTTAACAAATATAGTCTTTGCTGCCCTCGTTTGACGACGCTTTCAGTGTTTAGGTCAAATTTCAGTTTATTGTCCAGATATTTGTAACTATCAACTATTTCAACATCATCACCGTGGACGACACTGACACTGTGGGAAGGTGCACGTCTAAAATCAATCACCATGTCCTTAGTTTTGGCAAAGTTCAAGTCCAGGTAGTTTTCCTCACACCACTGGACAAACTGCTCCAGCGCAGGACCATGATTTCCCTCAGATCCTGAAAGCAGCGACACCAGGACCGTGTCATCCCAATATTTGATGAGGCGTCTGTTTTCCTCTGAGGATCTGTCCGTGTACAGAATAAAAAGGAGAGGAGACAGAACACAACCCTGAGGAGAGCCAGTGTTGGAGATGGAGGGAGGAGACCATTGCCCATGAACAAAAACACGCTGGACCCTGTTGGTAAGAAAATGTAAAATCAATAAAAGAAGCTGATCTGGGAGATTAAAATCTGAAGCCACAGTCTCTGAATCAGAATGTGGGGCTGCATTTTGTTAAAAGCAGAGGAAAAGTCTGCAAATAAAAGTCTCACACGGGCCCCTGAGTTTTCAAGATGCTTATAAACAGTGTTCAATAAAAACAGTTTTGCATCCTCCACTCCCCGATTAGACTGATCTGCAAATTGTGTTGGATCCAGTTTTCCTTCAGTTCAAAACAAAATGTGAGTCTTTAAAATCTGTTCCAAAGTTGAGCCGTTATAATGTTTGTCCACCAGATGGCGCCAGTGCACTTTGCTTAAACAATGTTATGTGCAGTGAGACAAATTAATTTGAATGTGTAATTTCGTGTTCAACATAGATTAAAACCAAAATTCAGGTTTATGAGATTTGTTGTTGATAAAATAGTAATTCTTGATCAGATTAGAGATTGTCATAAACGGTTGAAAGGTTAAAAGGAGTAAAAGGTAAGAACTGTAAGAGCTCATTGTTTTTATTTCTTTTTTGTTGTTGTAGTTTTTACGTCGTGTTCACAAACAAGGCCCAGAAATAAAAGTTGTGAACTGTCAGTATATGAGAGCAGCGTTTGACCCGGGACGCTACACCGGGAGCGTGGACAGACGGAGCTGGAGTCCCGTCGGTTTGAGCTCCCGAGGCAGAAGTGAAGTGGAGTAACGAGTCCCATTTGAAAGTGTTTTGGTTTTATTGTGTGTTTGTTCAGTTAAACATCGACGTGTGTGTGTTGGATTGTGTCAGAAAAACCATGGACGCAGTGTTTAGACTTGGTAAAACTATATATCAATGTTCTTGGAGGACAAGGACTTACTCCTTTTGAAATGATATATGGACGAGTTTATAAGTTACCACAGTTTAAAGAAATATGGAAAGAAGAAAATGAACATACTTTAGCAGATTATATGCA